AAAATATCCACCCAACCCTAGAGATTTCCTAATTCGGGCAGACTATTCCGCATTAAACCCAAACAGTTTATGATTATACAAAAGCCAATGAGAATGGCATGTTATCCAGCTGCAACCTACAAATCATGATCGCTCAGAAAGAGCCTAAATACAACCAAAACAATAACATACAATAGAAAAAAAACAACCACCAAGGAAACTCAGGACTGGAGCAAATAGAGGGTTGAGGGACACTGCACCAAAATATCATTTTAATTGGCAAAGATCCATTGAAGTCTGTTTTTAAAAGTGCATATTTTCAAACAGGCAGAAGGCGGTCCTTCTCCTTCAAGGACCCCTCCGCTATGCTCCGCCCTCGGCACTCACCTTGGGGTTCTGCAGCCACATCTCAAGCCTCTGCACAGCCATGAGCCGCACCTCCTTGTAGCCGCAGGTAGCCGTCAGCAAACGTAGCAGGTTCCGCGACACGTTGTCCATGGGCTGCCGTCGGTTCAGCTGGTCACGCAGAACGTCCAGCACGTAGTCCTCCACGCTCTCGGCCAGCTCCTCGTACCTGCGGCCGACGGGGGACCGTGTCACCGTGTGCTGCTTCCCAGTGTCCCATACCCTCATTCTGGACTTTATGTGGGGTTTTTAGCCATAAACCAACATGGAAGTAAGGGGGGGCTGGGAACAGACATACTGCAGAAATGACGATATGATGAATGACGGACAGAGGCAGTCATGGAGCCAATGGGAGGCTGGTCCTCCTAAAATCAGGTCAGCCCCAGGTGCCTCCATTTTCATTGGCCCCAACTGATGTCAATCATGTCAATTAAATGAATCATTGCAGTAACAGGGATTTGTAATGGTGGGGAGGGACAGATTTGACCCACTTCATTTATATTATCATTTTGACTATATTTGGTGGCTATTCAGTGATGCAATGTTTTCGCCAAAGTAATCCGTAAGCTGCACTGGTAACTAACCTCCTGGACTGACTGAACAGTGACTGAACAGCAGCGACGTGGGCTGGAGAGCCCGGCTCTGACATTATGGCTCACCTGGGCATCACCTGTCCATCATCTTCAGGGCTTTGCTTCTCCTCTGCTATCAGCAGCTCTGTCTGGGCGTCATCCTCATCCGGAGTGGAGGGGTGGGGGCTGCTCCCTGCAGGAAAACATTTGTAGGACCGTCTCTCAGCACCTGCATGCAACACCTTCAGGAAAAGCCCCCCAAAGGGAACACATCAAGCAAGTGAGGGCCAGGCAAGTCTTTCATGTCGCAGTTAGCACACCGGCTTCCCTGCTAACGTCGCAGTTAGCGCACCGGCCTCACCGCTAACGTCGCAGTTAGCGCACCGGCCTCACCGCTAACGTCGCAGTTAGCACACCGGCTTCCCTGCTAACGTCGCAGTTAGCGCACCGGCCTCACCGCTAACGTCGCAGTTTGCGCTGCTCACTAGTGCTGACGGACTTTGCGACCCAGTACCTGCACTGAGGTCTCCGGCAGAACGGCCAGCATCAGCCTGTAGCAGCATGCTCTTTGGGGGCATACGGGTGGCAAATGCTGTCTGGATGTTGTCCACAAAAGTCTTGCAGTGGCAGCTGTCCACCCAAATGCGCTCGCCCAAAGAGTCCTCAATATAAACCTGGACAGAACCACAGCGTGACTGAATATCGGACAATGGACATTTATTATCGAAAGTAGCATACAATTTAAAAAGCAGGGTCAGTCAGCCTTTGGAGCAAAAGATGTTAATAGAACCATTCTGCTGATCTTGGGATTTGAACCACTGACATTCTAACAAGCCCCCCCCCTGCACTTAGGTACACATCTTTCTACCCAGAATGCCACAGGCACTGCTTCATATGTCTTTAAGAAGCATACTTAAATTAAAAAATACTTTAAAAAATCATTAGTGCAAATAAATAGAAATTTGAAGCTACTCCATTCACTTTTAATCAGTGTTTCTCAAATCAGTCTTTGGTTACCCCCAGACGGTCCACGTTTCTGCTCTCTCCGGATTCCCTGGGAGTTGTGAGGGAGCAAAGACATGGACCGTCTAGGGGGTCCCTGAGAACTGATTTGAGAAATGCTGCTTTAAATAAGGGTGTCAAATGGTAAATATGGGTAAACAGTGTATATGCATGCTGTGGCCGGCCCCTCACTTTGACGAAGATCTCGGGCCAGTTCTCATCCTCCTCATAGGCAGCCATGAGCAGGTTACAGGCCAGCACCGACACCAGGCTATTCCCCTTGGTCTTAAAGTTGATGGATGTGTCCCGTCGCAGGAGGCTACACAGGGCCTGCACACACAGAGACGCTGGGGTGTGACACGCCCATCCTGCACCCATGACGCTTGAGGGGGAAGCCAGGCATCTTCCTAAAACTCTCATCTGGGAAACACTAGCAGCTCCTCAGAACTGCTCAGCAGCCAAACAGCCGTGTTACTCCTGAACAAACCAGCCTACTGCTCAACCATCCACCCTGAACACTCGCTATCCTGTCTGCAGTTCTGTTGCTACCCGGTCTACGCTTTGTTTTGTATTCATTATAACTTATAACTTGTGTAATGTGTATGACCAGACATGACAGAACAAATAATTTGTCGAGTATGTACAAGGTAAGGTGATTTTGACTCTGGAAAGGACATAAGGACATGCAACTAGATCAGACCTGTGCAATTACCTTCTTTGAAGCCAAATCTGAGCTTCACTGCATCAGCAGTGGCTATTTTTTAATGATTATGTCCCATAAAAGCCACAGCCAATAGTGAGAATTTCCGTTTCCCTTTTTAGAAAATCCATGCAGAAATTAATAACACAGGTGTATTTCACATGTTTAACTTAATTTACATATTTGATATTACTTTGAAGAAAGATTTGTGGGGAAAAATCTGTTCATCTGCATAGACCTGAACATAAAATTTCACCCAGTTTTTTTAAATTAACGTATTTTACTGATGACAGGGAAAAGTAAAAAAGCACCATGGAGTGGATATGGCCACAAGATGGGCTTTTGCTCAGATCTGAACTAGACAGTGGTAATATACTCAGAACCAGCATGCTTCATGATGAAATTCAGCTGTATAAATTACAACAAAGGTGAAAGGTAAAGTGTAACTAATAATAAAATTAAGTTTTAAAAAAACTTTTATCGTATTTTTTTCCTCCCAAGAACTAAATTCTACTTCCCTATAACTGACCGTGGTCTGGGAAACGAAGGCCCCTCCCGCCACACCCACCTCTATGACGCCTTCAGTGGCAAAGACGTTGGGCTTGATCTTGGCCAGGTACATGAGGCTCAGGTACAGCGTGATGTCAGGCTTGGCACGGTTCATCTTCAGCTGCTTGACAGCTCCGCATAGTACCCCTTCGATGCGGTCGTCGTTACCCTCTGCTTCTGCCGCCTCGATCTCGTCCAGAAGTGCCGCGGGTGGAACTGTCGGAAAAAGCAGGAGGGTGAGGGGAGAGCTCACGCTATCACAGCACAGGAAGCACCGCCACGGAGACAGGATTCGGGAAAGAGAGAGGAGTGTATCTGATGTGTGTGGTGCATCGATCCTTATCCATCAATGGGACCTCAGCACTCACAAATCTCACAGAACCAGCCAAATACATCCAAAAAGCTCTTATTTGTGAGTCTCTCTATAATCAATGCAAAATATTGCAGCGGGAAGACATGTCATAGGATAAGACAATATGTTAATTATTTTTACACAAATTGAGATTAGACAGGAAATCGTTTCCTAATTTGGATGAGGTCTGGGTTGTGAGGTTGTTATGTGCTAGTCTTGTGTTAACTTAGGTAGCACCTTGTTCAGAAAGAAATGCTGTTTCACTTTTTAACTGTGTGCTGAACTAAATGTGTAGGGTGAGAAATGACATTGGGACTCACCTTCAATAGGCACAACGGAGGGTTCTTTTATCGAAGGTGATATGGCTCTCTTGTCCACAGCGGCTACATCAGCCAACCGGCCCAGAGCACTGACTGGAGGAGTAGCAGAAAGCTTGGGCCTCTTGGCTAGTCCAGCTAACCCGGACGAGGATGGCAGCGCCGACGAGGTCTCTCTCTTGCGGTCAGCGGGAAGACCAGCAGAGGTGGGTTTCAGGAGCACAGCTGGGGCCTTCGGCTCACTTGCCTGGCTTTTTGATCCAAGGGCTATAAAATCTCCAGGAGGTGGGTGTCCTGGAATACAGCAGCATCAATAACAAGTTAGGGACTCTTGGCAAATATTGCAGCAAAGTGTGGTAGTATTACTTGACATCCAAAGTACTGTGGCGTTAATCACGTCTGTACCTGATGGCTTTGCAGTACTCGGACGCCTAATTGTGGGAGGCTTCGGTCGATTCATCGTGCAACGACAACCTCAGACCTGTTGACATACGTGCACCTCTGAGCCAAAGACACTGATAAGTAAAATACTAACTGGATATACGAATAAAAAACACAATGCTACTGAATCTACCCCATATAGAAAGCGATTACTTTGGAATAAAGTAGTCAGATGTTGCCACCGTTATCCACAAAACTCTAGAAGCAGCTTGCTAATATCACATGAAACACCAACTATCTACGCATTAAACCATAAACTATACCAAACCCCACATCGCACTGCTTGAGCTACTCGATCGCTCTTATTAAATAATGTACTAACAATATTTTAAATCGCAACCACAAAACCACTGAAATACAACATGAGCATCCGTATCCGAACTGAATCTAGACAGTTAACTCGGGTAGTACTAGCCAGCTGTAAGTATGTAGCTGAACAATAAGACTTCAGGAATTACATGGAGCTCCACTGCAACGTGTTAGATATACTGCATAATTCATTTTTTAAAACGAATGGCAAGGAATTGTATGCTTACTCCGTCTCTAAAAAAAAATCATGCGATTAACTAGAACACATTTTGCTCTTCCACTGACTGCAGTGTTTATTTCCGGTCCGACAGAACGGAACTCTCTTCCACGCATGCGCAAATGACACGCTACCGGAAATGCTCCTGAAATTTTGATGAATATATCCGGTTTTTTTTCGCCGATGCTAGGGGACGGTAAGATTTGTGGCAAACATTGGTTAAAAACGTGTTTTTCGGTTAAAGTTACTCATCTTGTAAGAAGTTTTTAGTGAGGCAAACAGGTTAATTTAGGGATATATAATAGATCGGTTTCTTTAATTTTATATGCAGGTAATATGCAGCCATCGTGTGTAATTTAAACAGGAGTAAACCATGATACCCAGGGCTGCCAACTCTCAGTCTTCTGGCACGACACTCGCGCTGTCTGACTCTAAAGCTCACGAAAGATATCCTACCGCAAATCTGTATTATTCCATTATAAACCTATCAGCTGCCTCAAAACCATACAGACTATTTACAAGGGCATAAAACTGTTACATATATGTAAATGCATGTGCATGTGAACTATAGACACGAATTGAAAATCTCACGCCAGCCAGCTGACCAAAATTGGCAACCCTGTGGCACCTAATGACTCTAAATAAGTGTCAGTTATTTTTGTTGATAATCATCATTGTCATTTTTTTATTAAATAATGAATAGAAGTAGTATTAACTATATTTGTTGTCTGAATGTTCCTAAAACAATAAATTATACATTTGCTTAATAAAAACTGGCATCCTCTATTTCTTTAGATTGAAAGTTGCAACCCTGCTGGGGGGCTGAGCTTCCCTAAGTGTCAAATCATAGAATTTCCTCTGATGTGAGTTACATGCTTTATTTATATCTTATAAAATAGATGTGTAAGCTTAGATCTTTGAGGCTGAAAAGGACTCAGATTTTTAGAAAGCACATTTTAATCAATACCTGATTGACAACTGAAGCACCAGATTAAGTGATTTACTATCTAAATTATTTATTGTTTAAAGCTGTGAACACAGCATCCCTGAGCCCTTCGAGTACTGATGTTTTGCATTGCTATCTCATGTATATGAACGATGATTAACTCCTATACAAGCCAGAATATTTCTGGGGGAAAAAGCTTTGTTGATTCTTGTCTACCACTAATGAAAAGCAGGAGCCCATCTGGATGATTTTAAGGCATAAAGCAGTTGTATTTGAGGGGTTTCTGAAAGAGACAATGCAACCTCTGTCTTCCTTTAGTGTTGAGCTATTCTTTAGAAGTATATTACTTTAAACTACAATAAACCAGATGTTTTCAGAATGCAAGACAAAAATGCATCCAACTATCCTTGTTATGCTGTAAATATGTTTATATAGCTTCATGCATGTGATTCGTGGGTGTATGAAGAAGTAATTCATCCTTTTTTTTCTGCATGTCCAATCGAGGGTGACAACAAACTACACCTTCCAGAGACTAATTTGTGGCAACTTTCTGTGAAACTTGTGCTTATTCACATAATCCAGTAATCACATGTTTTACTGAAAAGAAGCCAGCCACTATGTAATTCACTAAACTGAATTAAATTTGCAACTCTCTTTGGAATTCTTAGCTATGACAAAGTCATCTTTAGCCTTTTATAAACATTTGCTCCTTTCTAAATAATAGTTTGAAATCCACAGCAGAGCCTCTCTGTATCAGATTATCTGCAGGCTTTTTGGAAAGTCTTAGTGGACATTGCGGTGAACTGGGTCATTCCATTTTAATTCAACAAATGGCCTTTGCATCACCACTTACAACTTTAATAAGATTTGGCATGTGAATTATCCATACCTTCCTGGCCTCAATTTTGTTTATGTTTTAAACATTTTCCCTCTGAGATATAGTGCCTTTTCTGCACTGAGGCTAAGAAAAAACACTGAGAGTGTTGTCTTATGCACTGTATGTTTTTTTTTACTATTATTACAGCTGCATGACTCACCTACAGCTTGTTGGAAGGCTCAAATAGTAGTTTTTCATAGTCAACATTTACATCAGTCTAAGTTTCTATTTTCAAGGTTGAAGTTCATCTCAAACTGCATTTTGTACTACATTTGGTCATTAAACACAGTGAAAGAATTGGAGTAGCTCATTTTTATAATGCAGTACATATTTATGTGTAGTGCATGTATGTGAAACATTGACCTGCTACTTGGTCCCCTTCATGAGATAATCACCCCAAAAACATCCAGTTTTTTTTCCCCATCCAGTTTTTTTTTGAGCCTCATAAAAAGGCATTTCACTATTTTGGGAAGAAAGTACTCTACCTGCTTTCAAATAAACAAACTTTGAATGTTACATTTATTTAGTGCTTTATAGAACCAGTGGGAAGCCTCTTGACCCAGCACTGTGCAGCCCCCACCTGGATGAAGCGACAGCAGCCATTCTGCACCAGTACGCTCACCACACAGTAGCTAAGGCGGTGAATGGGCAGTAGAGAATTCACCAATTACATATAGGGAATGATTAGGACAGCGTTCCCCAAACCAGTCCTCGGGGCACACTGGACAGAGCCACATTTTGTTTTATCCCAGCTCCCAGAACACCTGACCATGCAATCAGGAGCTCTGAATACCTCACAGGTATGCTGGGTACTGGGATAAAACAAAAATGTGGATCTGTCCAGTGTGTGCTGAGGACCGGTTTGGGAAGCACTGGATTAGGAGGCCAAAGTGAGCAATTTTAGCCAGGGCACCAGGGTACCACCCCCACTTTTTTAAAGGATGCCCAGGGATCTTTCATAACCATATATTTATGCTTCTTCTCTAGGACGACTATTTTACAGCACACTGTCCTTGTGATCCACTGACCTACACCAACACCTCTTCCAGCAGCAACCCAGCTTTTCTGCTGGGTCTCCCATCCGAGTTCTGGCCAGGCCCAAACCTGCTTAGCTTCAGATGGATTTCCTAGGCTGACTTATACATGGCACAGCTGCTGATAACATTTGTTGTTTTTCAACGGGGTGCAGGTGTTACAAGGCCCTGAACTTACAAAAACTGAAACTACATGCTAATCTCACTCTCTTTTAATCCATTTATTTCATAAAAATGGCCTAAAGAATGCAAATTTCTCCTTTGGTGAAGTGTATAGGTATCATTGTAGTGTGGTGTGTTAGGAAGCTGGGACTGTGACTGGAAGCTGACTGGTTTGAATCCCCATCGCATCCCTTTTGGTTCTTTGTCCCAGGGACTGGCTGACCCTGCTTCTTCCAAAACAAATAAAAACTGTGTCACTTTGAATGAAAGTGTCTGTGTCTGTAATGTAAATGTAATGGAGACATTGCATTCGTGGACAACTAAATGTTGTATGTAATAAAATACTTAGGTGACTGTTTCACATCAGAGCTGAAACTGAAAAAGCTCATGTATTTGCTATTATCTGCTCTCATAACAGTCGGTTGAAGCTCAAACACTCTGGCACCTGACCTGGTTCAGGGCAAAACGACGTCGTTCAGAATAATTCCTCTAAGGAAGCGGGATTTCCAAGAATCGCCCTGTAACTGATGACGTCAGCCCCAGAGACCAGCATCGCGGAGGTCGTGCCAGACAGACGTTTTACTTCTGAGGGAACACCGCAAAGCACGCGCTGAATGGGCTGACTCTGCCTGCGTAGCTGTGCCAGTGGGAATATGTGGATGTCTGCAAACAGTTCCAGAACATACCGGTTTCACTGAGGACAGTTACATCATAATGCATGTCTTATTCCCGGTCTAATTTAGGACTTACAGTAGGTTCAGTGTTGCTCATAATGACTATAATGAAATCAAGGCAAAATGTTCAGCATAAAAAGCCAGTTTCTGACACTGAAATCCCTATGCATTCACTAATATTAATTTTATTACTCAGAGTTTGGTCTTAAATTATTTAAAATTTAAACACAACCTTTTTTTTCAAGGTTCTGTCAGCCTCGCCCATATGTACTCAGTCTGTACTACTTTGTTCTTGTCACATATTCTAAACATTTTAATATAAACCTCCCCCAAAATAACTCAGGATACAGCCCCTGGGACCCACACCTATCCCCAAAACTGAGTACTTTTCGATACAGTCCCTCCAATCGGCACTTAAAGAAAGCATTTTTAGATTGGGTGCATAAATGCTTAGTTGAAATTGAAGCATTCCTGTATAAACCCTTTGTAATGATGCCACTTCCAGGAACACTTCAAAATAAAAGTCACACTGCGTCATTGCAGTTTCACTGGATTATCTAATGTTATCTATTTGTTTCTAAACTGAATGTTAGGTTAGTCATCCTGACATTATAATTCTGTAAGGAATGAGGTTACCGGTAGCAATGGGCAGCGTGTGTATTCCTAAGGGCCGTTTATAGGATGGGGGGGTGGGTGGCATATAGAAGGAAAACCTTACTTTATTGGTGAAGTGAAGCAGTTCTGCCATATATAGTTAAGCTCCATGGCGTATTTTCATTGAACAGTTTGTAACATAAACTCTCCGTCTTCTTTGATCCCTGGGATATCAGTGTCTTTTTTCTGTTGAGTTCTCGTTAAGAGATCTCAGGGGATTAGAGGCAAGAGCAGTGGGTAAAGACATCAGATGTTGTTCCTTGCAGCACCACAAGTATATGGGACTCTACAGTGAGGAGGACATTAACTGCTGCAATAAGATATCACTGGATCTCATACACAGATAAAGTCTCTTCAGTGGAAAGCAGATCAGGTGTAAATATATCCACCTGTAAAACTGTCTGTCATTCTGGCCAGGGTCTCTCCCACTTCAGGCTCCGTGCTTCCTTGGGTAAGCGACCTGCTCACCATCACCCTATACCAAATAAGCAGTGATGGAAGATATGTGGATGGATGGATTTGACTAAAATCCCTCCCATCCATCCATCTTCTGTAACCGCTTGTCATATTCAGGGTTGCGGGGGCTCAGGAGCCTATACCAAAGACTGTGGCCAGAAGGCAGGGAACACCAACCCATCATAGGGCACACACACACCATTCACTCACACACCATTCACTCACACATGCACACCTACGGGCAATTTGGTAACTTCAATTAACTGAATAAAAGCCAAAAAAAATAAAAATAAATATCAAGGGAACTTAGCTGACTGCAGTTTTCATTCTTAAGATTAAGATGCCTTTTAAATTGAATGAGATTTAAATGCAGAAACATGTGTAAAAGCAAATTAGAGTAATAATTGCTATTAGTAAGAGCTCTGAGATGGACTGGCATGCCATCGAGAGGGTGTCCTGTGCTTCCCAGGGCAAGCTCCAGACTCACTGCGACCCAGCGTTAGATGCAGATGAAACAGATGGTCCGCTGGACGGATCGACGCAGTTAGCGAGCTACATAGAGACGCAGACGGCCTTTTAAGGAAGCTTGTGTCGTGGGACTTGGAGCTAGGCCTACACTCTGTGGGTTTCATTTTGAATCACTCCACACCAAACCTTTCATTTCTGCGTTGTGCCATAAACTGCAAGGAGTCTGACTAATATCTAAAGTCAAGGAATTCAAAGGGTCATACAAGACTTCCCAGAGAGTCCCTACTATCGGGTCATCAAGGAAGCCTATTACCATTATCCCGATTACCAGAAAATAAAGAAATATGCGCTGATTATATCTTGATTCTGCGAGAAGGAAAAGACACCTTTAATAAAGACCATGCACTCAGCCAAAGACCTGAAAAGGTCATGTGAGTCCATGGGCATGCTCTCTCTGCTAGACGGGTTAATAGGGCAAGCCCATCTGTGAACTCCATAATCAAAAACACAGGGAATGTCATGGGTGCGGACGACTCGGGTGCGGGAACGTGGTATCGGGCACAAAAAGGGTGGACGACCCACTGGCGGCTCCGAGACAGATGGGGTTTATTTAATCAAAACAGAAAACACTACAAACACAAAACCAAAAGGACCACGAGGCGTCAAATACTAAAAGGGAATTAACAAACACTAAATAACAAAACCTAAATACACATCAAATACTGGGAATCTCTGAAATAACAACCATCAAACACAATCAATACAAACCAACTACAACACACAACAAAATGAACCACTAAGGAACTAAACAGAAGCAGGAACTAAAATACTAAAGGGGTAACGAGACTAACACAGGACAGGTGAGACTAATTAACAAAGACCAGGGAAACAGGGCACAGGTGAAACTAATAACTCAAAGGAACTAAAAAACAGGGAAACTAAGAACTAACCAAGGACACAGGGAAACAGAAACCAACACTAGGGAATTAAACAGGTAAAGACACAAGCAGGGGCACAAGGAACAAAACCAAAACCAACTACAAAATCAGACACAAGAACTAAAGAAACTCAAATGAAACACTAGGGAGCAAAATACAAAAACAGAGGAGGGGGGATTCAAACACAGGACAGAAGAGTACACAAACAACCACATGCTCAACACATTGAGCCACATGAGCAGACAGGTAACAGGAGAGAACAAAGACTAACATGAAGGACGGGATGACCAGCAACACCTGCTGGTCAAACGGGGAGGGGACACAGGGTGGGACAGCAGGGGCTGACCCTGACAGGGAACGGCAGAGCAGTACGTGCTGTGAGGCTTTTAGGAATTCTCTGGGCATCTGATGAGAAAATCTGGGATTTCGCGATGGGAATCACCGCTGTTTCGTTGTCCCACAGAATCACGAGCCCTCACTGACAGGACATTATAAATTAGGATCACTTAGTTCGTATATGACCCTCTATGTCCCTGAAAATGCAGCCCAGTGCCCGGGGAAGCAAGGCATCTTGAGATGGTAAGAGTACAAGATTCTCATTCCGATCCCCATTCCACGTCATCCACGGCTTCCAGGTATGAATTACAGGACTGTATCCCGTGAAGAGGGAAAGCACAAATATTTAGGATTCCTCCGAGCGCTTGCCAGGTGAAGACCGGGACTGACTACACATCTGGAAAACACATTTCCTCCAAAACGCCCCAATAAACAGGAAATCCCAGTTACCCACAACGTGACTGCAGAAACTGCAGCTCCATATCAGACAGATTCATATAAAATCATAATCCATTTTATGAAAGACACGGGGACGTGCGTCCCGTGCGGCGGGATGCAGCTCCGGATGCCCCGGATCGCTTCGTTACAGGTGCAGCTCGCAACCACCCAAACCGCTCAAGTTTATCCGATTACTCATCGTCTCGTAACCCTCCCCCCCACCCCTTCCAACTTGAAAGACAGTGAACTCACAGGATCCCACTTCCTCGTAATTAGAAACACATGCACCCCTTTGGCTCCAGTTATTCCTGATACCTTTGCATAAGAAATTAGCGTCTGGAAGGCGAACCGCCAAAAGTGAAAGTCCATGCGGGTTACTCAGATCCTTTCGGAGGAAATAACTAAGGGATGATAAATCACTGGACACTCCAAGTATATGATAAATAAGAGAGAAAGTGGGTGCAGGGATTATTTGAAAAATAGTCACCATTTTGCATTTTTAGTAATTCATTATCTTGACTGTAATCTGTCCAATGCACAGGTAATTAAGTGAGTTAAATCCTTACAGACAGCGTCCCGGCAGTAGGAAACGAGGACAACAGAGTGATTCCTAAAATCTACATCCATAGAGTCTGGACACAGGTATACATATTAAAAAGGGAAAGAGAAATATGAACATTTGCAGTCGTTATGAAATTTTCACAAATTTTTATTTTTTGTGGCACTACACACATACTCCCAAATCAGCCCAGAAAAAAATCCATCAGACGCGGCCCAGTGTGAATCACTGGGTGGCAGTAAAGAGTAATTTGCAAACCAAAGTCTTCATCAGGGAATTGCTGGATACAGTACTGTCGATTTAAAGTAATTTAACTATAAATAAAAATAGAAATATTAAAAGAAATATCTTTTATATTGTAAGTCTAGCAGTTTGTGTTATGACGAGCTACACAAATACAAAAATTGTTATTGCATTCATGAACAACAACGTACAAATAAGCTAAAAATGTAACCAAGGCCAAAAAAACCTGTGTGATCCTGAACAAGGCCGTCGTCTCGGCCAAGGTAACTACAGCAGCCTTAATCAAATTAATTAATTTTCTAGCCAATCATAAAACCACTGGTGTCCTGCATAATACCATAACCATACTACTGGATAATTACTGTATCATGAATTAGGCTACTTGTTTTATGTGTTCATGTAACTTAGAATAAAATACTACAGCACTCCTTCTAATAACGTATCTATTCATTATTATTACATTAGCTACGTACGTTGTAAGACATTAAAAAACAAAACATTCACGGTCCTATTATACTTGGTATGAAACATTGATTTAATAAGTAACCTATAGTTAGCATTCAAAAAAGTTTATTGCTAATTTAACATGCTAGCTGAAACACCCAGCTAAAAATAGAATTAGCATCGGTAAACAAATTAATTGCATCATAGTTTGATAAGGCGTTATCATATCATTACAGCTAGCGTGGCTAATTTATTCTGTACGTCAGTATAATTTTTTATCAAATCGTTGGATTTATTTAAAATTCTGACTACCATCTTCCCATATAAAGTCCTGCTCTAGCGGTTTCATCTTCTTCAGCATGTTTTTTACTGGAAGGCCAGGATTGGTTGTTACCTCACCTGCAGCGTTATGATTGGCTAGAAAATGAATAAATTTGATTGGTGGCTATGCGAGCAAATATTTATCTGCAAAGTGCTAGGCAAGTTAGTGCCAAAATTATTTATGTGCGCAAGTGTGAATATGCACTCACAGGTTGGTATTTGCAAGAGGACTTGGATTTGCAATACAGGTTTTGTACTTGAAAACCATTCTATCTTTGTAAAAAATATTTTTATGAAGATGTTTGGTTTCGCATTTACAAAAAATATTGGCGTGTATTTGCAAAATGTTTTTCACGTTCATTCACAAATCTTCATATACAAGTACAGATCACGTGACGCGTATTTCTGTTCTGTATTTTGCGAATTAAAATTGTGTTCAGTGCGAGCAAATTTCATTTTACGGGTGCAAATTGGAAAGTACACATACAAGTATACACTCACCTAAAGGATTATTAGGAACACCTGGTTAATAGTAATTTCTCATTAATGCAATTATCTAATCAACCAATCACATGGCATTTAGGGGTGTGGTCCTGGTCAAGACAATCTCCTGAACTCCAAACTGAATGTCAGAATGGGAAAGAAAGGCGATTTAAGCAATTTTGAGCGTGGCATGGTTGTTGGTGCCAGATGAGCCGGTCTGAGTATTTCACAATCTGCTCAGTTACTGGGATTTTCACGCACAACCATTTCTAGGGTTTACAAAGAATGGTGTGCAAAGGGAAAAAC